TAATATAAGTGATCCTTTAATTAATAAAGGTTTTAATGTTCTGTCTGTCACTTTTAACAGATTAGATTAGCCAATTTTAGATTCAGTAATCTATTCATATGTTGATCTCTCTCTTTTTTTAAAGCTTGTCAATTCCGTTCACTTATTTTAAACTCTTAAAAAAGAATGGCTAATGTTGTCGAATTATGGTAATGGTGTGGGTGATCAAATTCGTATGTTATGGGGCATAAATGAGCTTGTATAGTGATCAGTGATTAGTATGGTATATGTGGTTTTTTAAATTGGTATTCTACACCATTTACCATACTATTTTTGTTCCAAACTGTAATCACAATTTTGATTATCCCACATCTTTTAGGTTTAGAGATCAATACAACTCAAAACAGATTTCAAAATCTTATCATAAAATATTACACAAGAAACAAGCACTTTGTCTTAGCAAAGATATTTTCTTGTAATCTAGAAAATTTTTAAATTATAATTTAAGTATGGAATAGTGTGTTATATTATTAAATAAAACTTAAATAAATAATAAATTGTTATTCCGATCGATTTTATAATTTAAAAACCTGATAATACAATAATAACATCTATAACATGTATTACATATGATCTATATCTGATCAGATTTTCACGAGCTGAATTTTATAATAATAAATGATTGGGTTGAAAGTCTGAAGTCTCACTTTCTTATGGTAGTGCTCAAATGATTTCTGAACCGTTTATTTTTATCTCAATATAAAATTATTATTCTGCATTATATTTTTAGCAAAAATCCCAATACGGTATGATCATGTAATTTACAGATAGATTAGTCGAACAACCAAAATTCAGATAATCGGCCAAAGTTTAGGTTGGTATTCATCAGAGTTGGCCGGCATTAATCAATAATAATAACTAACTAACTACATTCTAGCAAAATTAGCGTCTTGAAAATTTTATTTAGCATGTGGATTACTAGATTATTAACAAGATTTATTAATTCTGCTCCATTCGGTTCTGGAATTTGGTTGATCTGCTGAGTTTTAGTTGCGCGGCCAATCTATTCCAATTTATAATGTATCGAGTTACTTTAAGCACGGACATTTGGACGTCCCTAGCTACTAGTAAATAATATAATACCCAATAATTTATTATATTGATGTGGTATCATGATCAGCATTACGAATTGACCTGGGCCATTTCACGATCAGTGAAAATCGTGAAATGACACTTTACATATATATATTAGTCAAATATATACTATTCTTTATGATGTGACAAAACGTGCTACCACTTTGCCGTAATGTCAAATATCAAATCAAATCAAATCAAATTCAAATAAATACTATTTGATTTGATTTGATTCGATCAAATTCAAATTTGATTTGAAAAAATCAAATCAAATTCAAATCTATTAAATATTTTATTTGATTTGATTTTGCGGAACCCTACTTTCTGAAACTAGTTTCGGGTAGGTTTCGTTTAGAGTCAAACTCTAGTTCACAAGATCGAAACAAAAATGAATGAAAGTTATGATTCAACAATAGTTATTGTATGGATATGTGTGTGTAAGTAATTACACACACATATCCATACAATAACTATAATTTATCTTTTGTTGAATAATAACTTTCATTCTTTTTCAACTTTACTACAAATCATCAAAAAAAAGAATCGCCCAACAATTCTCTTTTTTAGACTTTACAAATAGATACAACAAAAATATCCATTTCCAAATTATATAGTGACAGATAATGAATTATTCGCCTTTTTTATTCGCAGCAAAGATTTTTGCTTAAGCAAATAATAATCTGTTGATAGCGATTTTGAAGATCTATAAAAGTACTTAAACTATTATTTTTTTCTAGTCAATTAATGAAAATTTCAGCAACTCTGTGAATAAATGGGGTTTCATTTTTTTTTAATTGGAATGATAAATACTCAAACTATCTTCCACTAATAAATTTTTATCTTTGATGCATTATACTATCATCACATATCTTATCATTGGGAACAATAAATACTTTTGATTCGTTAAACTATTTTTTTTACTACATTCCAAGCGATTACTAAGGGCCCGTTGAAAACACTCTTAGTCCCTTTATGTTATATAGTAAAATAAAAAAGTAAAGTTCTCCGGGTTTTGATTCTTTTTCGATTCTTTTGCAAATAAATGCCGAAGCTATAGATGACTGAGGTGTTTTATTTTAGAATATGTTTTCAAAAGCACTTCAAATATAAATAAGTGTTACCAACTTCTTCCTATGAGGTTTTTAAAATTATGTATCTTATTTATTTATTTTCTGCACTAACACAATGTTTTTAAAACTTTTTTTCATATCAACAGTGTAAAGCTAATCTTTAACTTCTGTAGAATCGCACCAGGCCTAAAAATACCTATTCACTTTCCTGGCCATTCAAAAATACTGAAATTGTATATTGCAGTAAAAAGATGCTTGGCACAATGGCCGGAAAATAAATAGTATTTTAGCCCTGGATCATGCCATTTGATACACGATCACGTTACACAATCACGATTTATTATTACTAATGTAAATAAACCATACAATTATGGAAATATCAATCATGTCTGATATTATTGAAGTGATGATTTATTGTCTTGTTCTTGGCGATGCTATTAATGCTTCGTTCTCAGTTCGCGGTGGGAGTGACATGAACGTTTCTGAACTGAAGATTTTCATTAAAGATCTCCTGAAACCTCGGTTTGATGCTTTTGCTGCGAATCAATTAAAACTGTGGCAGGTGGATATTCCTACCAATGATATAGACTTAGATGACAAAGTAAATGCCGACAATATCGAAAAAGAACTAAAGGGTGTGCTGTTGTCGTCTCCATTTCAGACTGTTGGAGATTATTTTAAACATTTACCTTCTAGTAAAAACATCCGAATTATCGTGAAAGCACCTGATAAAATTAGTATGCATCTTTCAATTATTATCTCTCTAACAAAATTACATTCATATCAGAAACCACTAAATCACTTCTCATCATATTTAAAGATCCAGAAAATTATAACCGTGATCGCCCTCCTTTGAATGAGCAAGAGTTTTGGGAGGAACTTACGGCCGCCCAAATTGTCTTTAAATTACCAGTCAATTTCGATGAAACTACATTTATGTCTGCGGAATTATCAGAATATATAAATGTTCAAGGAAATGAAGCAATTTTAAATGATCGTGTAATGTTAAATGCACAAGACGAATTAATAAATAACAATGGTGAGCCCATAATGGTCAAATCGACAAAAATCAAAATGAATTATGTGAAATTTCTACGTCTTCGTAAGCCGCCAACTGGAGTAGTCTACGGAATATCCACACAAGAAATATTAATAAGGAAGTCATACTTACAAATGATTGAAAAGATTGAATACGATCGTGCCCATGAGTATAAAGAAGGCTGTGTCATAATTGGATCTCCTGGAATTGGGAAAACACATTTTTCGCTATATTTGGCGTTTTATATATCTCGTCGATATCATTTTTCAGATATAGTCTATCACCAATCATTCCGAGATCAATCTCGTGCTCTTCATATCAAATCTGACAAAAGTGTAATGAGAATCATTAATCTAGAACGTGAATTCCCACTAGAAGGCTTTTATATTGCTGATTCTGTAATCCTCGCCCCCTATAAAACAGCATTTACGTTCCTGGTTACGATTCCAAAAAGGCATGAATTTACAAAAGAATATGTTAGGAAATATTACGCACCAATTTGGACTGAGGAAGAAATTTGGGACGTTTGGAATGTATTGTATAAAACTAAGATATTAGAAAGTCGAGTCAAAGAGTTGATTAGACGATGGGGATGTATCCCACGAAGAATTTTTTGTGAATATAACGATGAACCGAATGTCAATGATATAGTATCTCAGTGTGATGCCTATGCTTACCTTAAATGCAATGGAGGAGCTTTAGGTGACAATTATTCCGGAAAAGCTATACATATAATTCCTAACTCTGATTTTACAGATAAAACATACGTACCTGCTTCAACGGAAATATGTGAGGCACTGTTCAGGCACTATAAAGATTACACGAAAGAAATAATTATCAAAGTAATCCGAAATTTCGTGAGAGGTGCTGGTGGTACATTAGCTAGAAGATTTTTTGAATTGATGGCACATGATGTTTTGAGTAATGGTGGCACTTTTACAGTACGACGGTTAACCAAAGATGGCATTAAACAACCTGAAGAAGTATTTTATCTTCAAAATTTGCAACTCAAACAATTTCGTAATATTAGTGAAATAACTCCGGGATATTACAACATTCCTGAAGATGCAAATTTTGAATCTGTTGACGCCATTGCACCTCAATGTAACGGAATTCATCATTTACAACAGCAGAAACACATGATATCAAAGTAAGTATGGATCTTTATATTGGCTAGTATTTACCATTTCATTATTGAATATGCATATGCAATGCTTTGCAGGTAAACGGTCTCAGTAAATTGGAAAATCATCTGAAAAACCTACCAATCCACCTATACTTCGTTGTTCCAGATATAGGCGACACGTTCAATAATTTTTATTTGCAAAAGTATGTTACAGCAGGAAACACAGAATATTCAGGGTGGCAATTGAAACATACTGAATGGATTAAGAATAGAGTAATTCAGTATGTTCTCTTGATCAATTTACCATTTTAGTTGGATAACGTGGTGCTAATTATACGATATGATATGACCAAAAATCATAAATTGAAATTAGTACATATAATATTTGAAGATGGTTGTTTAGAATCTTGGCATAAAGATACTAGCATGTTATGTTTTTAACAAAATTAGACTACTCAACCATGTAAAAATGTTATTACATATAGTATAATCATTACTAAAATAAAAAATATTCATGTGGCTCTAGAAAGAATTTCTGAAACATTACATCTGAAGAATGTCATCAACATTTTTATTAATAATATAATTGATCATCAAAGCTAGATTATTTTTGATTATATAGATGTTATGGCATCGTCATATAATAAGGTGGGTATGGGTATTATGGCACAGTTAAATACGTCTATAACAAACCTTTTTCAAATTGCCCTAAACATTTATCAAACTTATTAAGATAAGTATGTTTTGGCTTGAAATATGTTTTTTTTTTATTATTAAAGAAAATCTTTACTAAAAAAAAAAACTTTGTCTAGATACATAAAATTTCTAAGATCTTCAAGGTAGCAACCAAAACTAGATAATCAGGTAGTACTGCCTTTTTTTTTTTCAAGCCGCTTTTCTTCTCTAATACGCTGTTGTTCTAATTTCATATGAGTGTCGCCAAAAGAAAACCTGACAATTTAATATAGTTTATATTTAAATTGTCGGGTTTTCTTTTGGCAACACTCATATGTTTTTTTTCTTCTTTTTTTTGCTTGCGAATTTCTTGTTTCTGCATCTTCTCCATCTTCCATGCTATTTATTTTTGGACAGCCATCTCTTTTTTTCTTTTTTTTTATTAGCAACTCTTTCTGCCTCTTCCCCCACTTCCCTCAACAAATGCAAAGGATCTTTATTTATAAGAAGCTGGGAGAAAGACATGGTCTTCCATTTTTTCTTGGGTGGCTGAATTTCAGGCTGATCTTCATCTACCTCTAGATCTTCAATCTGCTTTGAACACTGGTGCATGGAGTACTTAAGCACCAACTGCAAAGGACTAGTGCCTGGATTTTTGTAGAGTTTTATTTCTAATTCTAAATCTTTAACCCTTTTATTAAACAATTATATTTCTGTTTACAATTTTTTATTTGTAGAGATTGGGCTGAAATAACTTGGAACCAACTTATGTGAAGAAGATTGAGTTAGTATAACAACTAAGTGAGTGGATTGTTCAGAAATTGGTATGTTGAATTTATGTGTTGCCATTGAGGGCTCAAGATGACAAGGATTAATGGTATCAAGATTAAATAGCTATATTTTTGTTGCTTTAAAAGAGCTGCATATAGCAGTCAGAATGAATGTTTTAATATAGGTCTGCTCAAAGAGTTTAGCAAATATATATTTTGTTATTAGCTTGCCATTATTAGTAAGAAACTTATTTTATTCACTGTAATATACTTTTTTGAGTTAAGCAAATGCTAGTTCAGTGGGCTATAAGATATGAGTGATATATGATGGAAGGGCATAGAGAAGAATATTATTTGGTGACAAAAGTTTACACAAGTATATTTGATATAACTTTTGTATCCATCAAAAAATTAGTAAAACAGAATGAGTTGGAGGAATAGATTTAACAAAATGCTCTATATATTTTTTAAATAAACTCTTCTGTATATACACTATATTGGTAAACTCTATAATGATGTCTGCAGGTGTGCTATTTAAAAAATTTAAAATAATTAGTTTACTTTTGTATATTATTAATGATGATACTGTATGTACAGTACTAGTAGCTAAAATAGTAGGATATACAGAAATATGTTCATGATTGCTGCTATATGAAACTTGATAAATTTGATATATTCCTTCTTGAAATAACTTTTTAAAGGTTAGATTCAATGATGAAACCTGTCTTGTACAAGTAAAAAACAACATATATTATCTTGTAGCAATCTAGTCAAAAAGAAGAAATTCAAAAAAAAAAACTACAAAAAACACAAAAAAAAAAAGAAATAATAAAAAAAAGAAAAAAAAAGAAAAAACCTGTTTTATCCATATTTCAGATTTAATTAGTTGTAAGTAAATATTTATTAATTATTTTTCAAAGTTTATTAAAATGGTTATTGATTATACAGCACACTCTCTCAAATCCGATACGCATAGTAGACAGCTTTTGTATTGGTTTTAAGAGGTTATCGGATTTAAAAATTAATTATAGCCTGCTGTCACATGATTACAAATAAATTTAATTAGCTGGATTATATTTCTTATATATATAATCTGTTACACAATACCTAATCTTAGCCAATCAAATCAATTTATATTACCTGTTATCTTATAAATATCTGGTCTTTTGGGTATTGGTTATCAGAAATGGCTGGTTATCAGATTTTAATTATGAAACAAACATAGTGAATTAATTTTTTATTGGTTATAGCAGGTTATCAGTTTTGACAGGATCAGTTTTAGGAGTGTACTGTAATAGGATTTGCTCTTTAGATATATGCATTATTTAGAGCTTGCAAAACATAAAATAAAAGTTTAGAGTGATCTTTTAAGAACTATTTTACCATGATTGACCTGGTCTATTTTTGTTAAAAGAATATAAGCATCTATCTTTACAAACTATTTTTATCATACAATAATTTATACTAGCCCGAAACCTAAAGTCTCTAGTTATTATACAAAAAATTTTTCACCTTTTGTAATATTGGCCAATCAAATTTTAGGATCAGGTACTATATTCTTCTGACATATATACTTTTGTATACTATACTTTGCAATAGTTTTAAAACTAAATTTTTAATTTATACCTGTATACATAAATATAGAAGTATTACACTTTTGTATCTAGTCATTTAATAGTAAAATCTATTGAAAATATAGAAGTATTCATATAGTATATCCCTCTACATGAGTACTTGAATACATAACAAGAACTATGAAAATACTCAGATATACATGTCAGAGGAATACAATATAATATAAAAATTAAAGCAAACATACTTTTTTATAAAAAAACAAAAATAGCTTTAAATTTTAATTATGAAACCACTTTTTATAGCCTAATTAAAAATATTTTTCATGAAATTTTATTAATAAAACAATCTGAATTCAAACTCTATACTGTTTTTATCCTAATTCTAACTATAATATAGCTTTAATTATATATGAAACTTTTATTTCTGCACTTAGAAAACAAACCATGTTTGTTTTAATTATTAAATTATATAAACCTTGAATTTTAATTGGTCAAAATCCTGGGTGAAAGATTTTTTGTAAGATAGCTACCTATATTCCAAAATCTAGTTTTTGCATAATTAGATAATGACTGACTAGTTGCTCTTCTTTATAGTCACTTAATTATAAACCTAAAAGTTAATTTTAAAATATCAAAGTTTTGTACAACACTTCTTATACTTGGGGCCCTAGGATTATCATTAGAATTTTTTATAACTTTAAAAGCTTTCTCAATAGTATTATTTTGAATAGCTTTATCTTTTTTAAGCAATATAATAGATATTTTTTATTTTTTATTTTTTAAAATTTAATAAATTAGTTATTTTTCATTATATATAAAGAATAAACTGTAGTTTAAACACAAGTTAAAATGAAATTTTATTTATTTATATATATAACTAACCATTTATTTGTTACACCAAATTGTATTATCTGATCATTATAAACACTAAAAATATACAAACTTTGATTTTAAATTACACATATCATGCAATATATTTTTGTATTTTAAAAAGGCTTTTTTTAGACCAATATGAATAATATTAAGTTATTTAAAATAACCAAATTATTACTTAAGTTATTCAGTCATTTAAAAAAAAGCAAATATAGTCAACTCTCTTTAAGTACAAGTCAACAAGCCAACAAAATATCTTGCATTTAGAGAGAACTTGCACTTAAAGAAAACTAAATTAATATATAATTAATTCTCTCTAAATGCAAGTTAATAAGTTAAAAAAAATATTTTGCACTTAGAAAAAATAACTTTAATTAATAAGTCAATTTAATTGGTTAATAATATATCTTGCAATTAAAGAAAATAATTTTATATATACTGGCTAAAAAAAATCTTGTACTTAAAGAATAAAGAACTTGTATTTATGTTATAAGTCCCAACATGAGACCAGACTATTTAATTGCATTTAGAGAGAAGTTGCACTTAGAGGAGTTGCACTTAGAGAGAGTTGACTATAATTCAAAAAAAAGGTTTTAATAAATATATATAATTCTCTTCTCAAAATTCTATATAAAAAAGATACTACCTATTACTTTAGTAATAATAACTTGTGACTTGTTAATCAAAACTGTAATTTGTCTCATTGAGACAGATCAATTGATGCCAAAATTGTACAATTCCAATTGACAGGTTATAAGATATTGAAATTGTACTATAATTGGTAGTAGAGTTACTAACTAGATGAATCTGTTATCTATTTATTTGATCAGATATCTATTTTTTTAATTCAGATATCCGAATAGATTAACTGAATCATTCAAACATATTAGGAATTAATTAATATATTTAAGTACATCGAGGTGTATTAGCCCAAATATCTAAGTATAGCACTGAAAAAGAAATAAAATTGACAAATTCTTTTCAAAAAATCAATTATTTCATAAATTATTAATCAAACCCATTTGATTTTGATACTATTCAACTCATCTTAATAAGATAAATCGAACAGTATCAAAATCAAGTAATTCTAATTAGTAGTTCATGAGATAATTAATTTTTAGGAAGAATTTATTTGTTTTATTTTTAGGTAGTATTGGTTCAAGCTTTACTTTTTACTTTTAACTAGTATTAGTAAGGGTTCTAGAATTAACTTAATTCAAAAATAAATGTGAGTTAAAAATAGTCTACTGTATTTTTTGATTTGGAAAATTAAAAACATATCCAGTAAAAAAATTAGATTCTTTTTAATACCTACTAGTAAGCAATTATATAAATAAGGGGGCATCTATAAATAACATTATACTTGAGGGAGGGAGGAGGTTCTTCAAAATATAATGATTTTTCAATATTTAAAAGATTCTCCAAAATACAGTATAACACAATTTTTTTATAAAAATTTGTTTAAAATTTGCTTTAGTGGTCCAAATTGGATGATTTGGTATTATTCAAATCATTTTAAGGAGAGGATTCGAATAGTACCAAAATTATTTGATTTGAATTACTGGATTATGTTTTATTAATAAAATACTATTGGTTATTATGTTTTTTTATAAAATTACTATAAAATCAATAGTATTTTGTTAATAAAACATAATCCAGTAGTCCAAATAAAATGATTTTGGTATCATTAAATTTGTTTTATAGAGATGAATCAAATAGTACTAAAATCATCTGAATTGGACTACTGAGTCATAATATATCTAAGTTTTTATAAAATTATATATATAAACATACAGATTTTTAAAAATTTTTTTATAGTCTGGGGGTCAGGAGCTACTATAAAGAGATATATAATGTTATTTATAGATGCTCTCTAAGTATATACTCTAGAAAAAGAGAATTTTATATTACTTGTTTTGAAATAAATACAAGTCACTCTTATTATAGTGAACTTCAATATAGTGAAGATTAGTTTATTGTGAAGATTTTTTTTAAAACAAAATCAAAACTATTAATGTTTTACTTAATATAATGAAGCTTTAATAATAAACTCTTGATATAAGCTATAATAAAAATTTTTTTAAAAAAATATAATATATTTATAATAAATTTACTTCTGCTATAATGAAAATTTATTTTAAAACCAATTTTAGCTAATTATATTAATTTAAACATTCTTTTAAGATAATGAAGATTTTTAAATTTATATATAAGCTTTATTATATTAAAAGTTTTTAATATAAATGTCTTTTGATTAGTGATACAACCAAAATTGATTTTTAAAAAAGGCCTATTTTGTCTCCATTAGAGCAAATTAAATTTTTATTTTTTATTTTTTTTAATTAAAGGAGATCTTCTTGATTGACGATTTTTATTAAATCAAGTTCAGACACTATATATTTTGAC